TTCATAATTTTCTGTGATCCTATTTTGTCAAATGTCCAAAACCTTTTGATATTTTTGACAAACTTTCCAAAAATCAAATTCTAAATTAAAGTCTTTTTGACCTGAAAGTAACATTAGTAATTTCCAGAGACACCCTGGGACTTCTCAAAGGATTTGTTCTCTCTTCTTATGAAAAAGGAGATGTTAAACTAATTAGGCTTATTTGGTGTGTCAAATTACATGAGAAGCATTGTCAAGTAAATGATGATAAACTTCTTAGGTTATATTGTATAGGTGAATGTTATTAAAATAAATGTTCTAGAAATTGTATAAAAATTCCTAAAATTCTGATATGTCCTGGTACAATGTTATCAGCCATAATTTTAAAATATATGTTACAGAAATGATCAAATTCACTTGTCAATTATGTTATAATGAGCTTTCATCAGATCTTTAACCCTTGCTGTTTTTAAGTCTGTCACTTACAGACAGTTACTGTATTACTCTGATGCTTCTGCAAATATGTTTTATCTTCAGGGAAATTCATGGAGAAGATGTTGTCAAATACTGTACAGAAGTATTTGATAACTTTAAGATCACACTGAACTAGATTTAAAGGACCCCCTTTCTCCTCTCCTTTGAGAAAATTTATCTTTACAACAAATGTATCTTTATCTTTTTCTCCCTACCTGATCCCTCCAGAATTTGGAAACTCTTAGGTATTCTTTTCATGACAACATGTGTATTTGCATAAATTCAATGAGAATCTATTCTCCTTAGAACACAACTGGAAATATTGGCTATATCACCAGGGCTTTGACTGGAATGTCATATTTGAGAGAGACTCAGATATTTACTATGATTATCTTTGATAAAAATGGGGGTAATTGGGGGAGAGAAATTATGCTTGCATCTTCGTAGATATTAAATTCTAGTCCTATTGTTTGTCTTTAAGGTCTTGTCGTATACTTGTAAGGTGGACTGGATCCTAAATTCTTCTAGTTTCCTTAAATGCCTGGCTATCATTCTCCAAACTAACACTTCCAATTTTCTCACTGCTCTTGGAATCTCCTTGGAAGGGACTATCCCAGGTCCTCCTGACTATCCAGATGGCAGCCAAACTTCAGGGACTCGAGCCTTGGGTACACACCTCACAGCTGAGGAAGGCTCCACCTGACATGCAGTGCTGTATAAGCACTGGGGATCTCCAAATCAAAATGACTCGGAAGAGAAGCAGCCAACATCTGAAGCAGACAGTTTTCCCAAGACGACTGGACCAGGCCAGTACACCCTCTTCCCACTGCTGCTTCTTCTCTCTCTCTTTCATGGAAAGACAATGCCCTTGTCTGCTTTCCCCAAACCCTTGCAAGAGGGGGAAACCTCTTCTTTTGATTATGGCCTTTCGGAAACAGCCTCGTCATGATCCCAAACAAATTAATCTTTTCACTTGCTTTTTCTAAAGTGTCAGAAGGTTCAGAATTCACAGAAGTCTTTCTTTCATCTGGACTATTAACTGACTCTTACTCAAATCCATGGTCTCTAAATTTGCAACCCTACACACTGTATTATCAATAACACATTTGGTTCTCAAGTAGTTCTTTTCAGATATCAATACTGTTTTAATACATCTTTGGAGTTTCTGCTATTTTTGCAAACAGTTCATCAGCTATTGTTTCATGTCTATTCCTGTGCTGTGTCTTCACAATGCACTCAGTTAATTCTTTCAGTTTTAGCGTGCTCTTACTGTATTTCCCATTCTATTTTCTCTTCAAAACGAAGAAGCCTCTCATAGGTCCACTCCATTTAGCTGACTACCTTCAGGTTTGAGCTCCTACTTTAGAACCATCATACAATTTGGAATTGTCATGTTACTTTTAATTCTGTTTTGTATAATTATTTTAAGTTTTGTATTTTGTTGCCTGTCAAACATTTTGTGAAAATGATGTACCCAATAAGGTGATGCTGGCTCAGCACTCTGAGATGATCTCCAACTCCTGCAATCTTGGAGAAATACAAACTTTAGATGGGAAGTGCCTGAGAGTTCTCCCTCCTAACCCTCCTTGTTACTCAAATGTGGCCTAAACGGTTTGCAACTGCTGTGCACTTTCCTTCCACCGTGGGACACAACAACCAGGAAAGGTCCTTCCCGGCCCTGAGGGACAAGACCACTATGTGAGAGAACCCGACTGCTGATCACCGATGCTTTTGGAGAAAGATCTTGATCAAAAGGGAAAAATGTGAAAATTAACCAAGGGAAACCTCATATAAAATGGAGTCAGGAGGCCAGAAGGGGGCGCTCCCACACAGTACCACTGGAGGTCCATTACAGGAAGATGGTCAATTACACACTCCAACAAGAAGAAGCCTGAGCAGGAAAGAATGGTCAACTACAGGCCCCAACAGGAAAGAGGTGCATTGCCTCTCCTGGAGGAAATCCACCACTCCAGCAACTCAGCCAATGAGAACCTGTCATCACCCTGAATTCTCGCTTTCCTCCAATGGACTTTCGTTCAAAACAACCCCTCCCAACCTCCTCCTTTTTCTCTATATAATAGCATTCCTCTCTTTTGCTTGCTGGATTTGCCTATGGTCCATCATGATATGCACAGCCCAAACTGCAATTCTTTGGATATTCCCGAATAAACTCACTCTGTGCATAAAACAACCGGCTGATTTACTTTTTCAGTTGACACCAGCAAACTGTTGTTGCATCAGATTAGCTTCTAACAAGATGTGCCATTTCCAGGTGAAAGCTGGCAGAGGGGGAAGGGATGCTGGGTCGGTGGGGGAGCGTTTGATTCAGGAGGACTAGGGGGAGACCACACTCGGAGACTCCTGCCCTGAAGCCCAGCCTTCCCTCCACCCTGCTTCAGGAGCTGGAGCAGGCGTCTCAACGCCTGGGGCTCCTGGGGCTCTAAGAACCGCAATGCTGGCTGACCGGGCACCTGCCTCCCCACACGGCGCCCAGTGGGTCTGCCGCAAGGAAGCCTACATCCCATCAGATGGCACCAAATCCTCTCAACTTAGGTCCAAAATCTCCTGCCCCCTTCTAAACGGTCACCCTTTCCACTGGGATGCACGGCCCTCCCACCAGGTGACAAAGCCTGGGCTCCTTATCCTTGATTTCCCTCTTTCTTGGGCTCCCGGAGCCCTTTTCTGTGAGGTGCTTCTCCCATTTTCCTTTCCCCTTCCCTTGCCCCCATCTCTAGGCCCCCCCCTTCACCTCCAGGCCCCCATTCACCTCCAGGCCCCCCCATTCACCTCCAGGCCCCCCTGCACCTCCAGGCCCCCCCTGCACCTCCAGGCCCCCCCTTCATCTCCAGGCTCCCCCCCTGCACCTCCAGGGTCCCCTGCACCTCCAGGCCCCCCCTGCACCTCCAGGCCCCCCCTGCACCTCCAGGCCCCCCCTGCACCTCCAGGCCCCCCCTTTCCTCCCCGGGTGCCCCCCCTTCATCTCCAGGTGCCCCCCCTTCACCTTCAGGCCCCCCCTGCACCTCCAGGCCCCCCTTCATCTCCAGGCCCCCCCTGCACCTCCAGGCCCCGCCCCCTCAGAGCTCACAGCAGTTCCTCCCTGATTTTCTTGCACCCAGACCCTCCTGCGCCCCACAGCTCCCCTCACAGCAGAGGGCGGCTGCGTCCAGGCTCCCCCCCATTACCCTTTGCTCCTGCTGACCTCAGGCTCCCAGGATGACCCCCTTTGAGAGTGCACAGCGAGCCCCCCCCGCCCTTGAAGGGCCCAGCTCATGCCCCCTTGGACACCCCTTTCCTGGATGCGTGCACCTCAATGGCCACTGTGCCCAGCCCTCAGCTGTCGCAGGGCACCAGGGGGAGGGGGCTATAAGCATCCAGCAAGTCTGAGGCTCCTGACCACCTGTGGCCGGGAGAGTCGGTGGTGGTTTGAAGGGCAGGGCAGGGGACAGGGGTGAGTGTGGCTGAGGGAAAGGTAAGGGTGGGGCTAGGCCAGGGTAGGCGGGGCCAGAGGTCAGGGCGCAGGGTGGGGTCCAGTCCTGGGGGCAGGGGCGGGCAGGGGACAGGAGGCGCTCTTCCCCACACACCCACGGCCCCTGGAGCAAACCATGGGGAGCGCTGGCATGCACCTCTGCCATTCTAGGGCCCATTCCAAGAGCTCTCAGCCCACGGCCACTCCTTCCCCAGGACACCAGCCTCTACACACCTCAGTAACCACACTGGGCCTCCTGCCCTGAAGGAGACTTCAGGGTGCCATGTGCATCTCGGTGTCCCCGACCACAGCGGGGGCAGCGGACAATTGCTAGGGGAGAGTGAGTATGAAGAAACCTGTGTCTGGGCGACCCCAGGGCTGTCCTGCTGAGGGCTACGGGAGGAGGGGATGGCCACAGGAGGAGAGGACGGCCACAGGAGGAGGGCTACAGGAGGAGGGGATGGTCACAGGAGGAGGGGATGGTCACAGGAGGAGAGGACGGCCACAGGAGGAGAGAACGGCCACAGGAGGAGAGGACAGCCCCAGGAGGAGGGCTACAGGAGGAGGGCATGGCCCCAGGAGGAAGGGACAGCCACAGGAGGAGAGGACAGCCCC